AATCTGTCCCTTGACTGCAACTGCTGTTTCCCCAGAGCACTCAGGAGATCACCTTGCAGTCTCCAGGCGACTCCCAGGAACCTCCTCTGCGACACAGCCCACAGCGATCATTTACCCTGGTACAGTGTTCCCTCTTGCTTTTCTTGTATTTATTGATATCATCATAGTAAAACTTGTTGGAATTTTCAGTGAAGTAGAAATATCTACATCTAGCCACTCATCTTACTTTTTTTCCTTCTTTTGGTAATTCCATAGTTGGTCCAGGCTAATTCATCCTTTTCCCATGAAAGCTTCCATAAATTTCACAAGGATTGTCCTCATAATTCTTGTCTTTATTTGTAAAAACTTAATTTCCAGCTGGATGTGGTGGTGCATGCCTTGTAATCCCAGCAGCTTGGGAGGCTGAGGCAGGAGGATCATGAGTTCAAAGCCAGCCTCAGCAACTTAGAGAACCCCTAAGCAACTCAGTGAGACCCTGTCTTTAAATTAAAAAAAAAAATTTTAAAAATGTGGCTCAGTGGTTAAGTGTCTCTAGGTTCAATTCCTGGTACCCACCCCCATTTTGATTTCCCAAGTATAAGATTAATTACATGTGATTACAGACATCTTAGAAAGTTATCTAAATTCCCCTAGTCAGAAAGGAACAGTTGACAGTCAGCAAGTGTTTCGAATTAAACAGGGCAAGTGTCAGAGATGTGTGTATGTGTAACTAGTTCTCTCAGGGATGGGAGCCAAGTGTAAACAGACTATTTCATACACACATTCCTGAAAGTGACCAGGTTTTCCACTTGTGCCATGTTGACACTCAAAAATGTCAGATTTTGGAACTTGAATTTTTGGATTAAGGATACGTTGCCATATGACCCAGCACATGACCCAGGATTGAAAGCAGGAATCAGAACAGATATTTGCCCACCAATGTCTGTAGCAGCATGATCGCTGTGGAATGTGTCGGGCACATTTTGCAACACAAACTTTATAGATATGCTAAATGAAATAAGCCACATAGAAAGGCACAAATTCATATGACTCCACTTGTGGTTTCTAAAATAGTTAAATTCAGGCACAATAGAGGTGGCTGGGAGAAGATGACTGGGGAGTTTAACGGGTGCAGAGTTATAGTTTGGGGTGATAAGAAAGTTCTGGAGATGATGGTGGTGACTGTTCTTAATGCCACTGAACTGTACACTTAAAAATGACCAAAAGGGTAAGTACTCTTTATCAAAATAAAAAAACAAGTTGATGTAAAAAAAAAAAAAAATACAATGATGTGGCCCCAAATCATCAAGGTAGCATGTGAATGTTCAAGTTTGAAAACACTCTTCATCCTCACCTACCATGCAGCTATTATTTCCATGCAAATCACAAATAAGAAAACCATTTTCTTTCTTTCTTTTCTTTTTTTTTTTTGGTACTGGGAATTGAGATCCCAGGGAAGCTCTTACTACTGAGCTACCGAGCTATATCCCCAGTCCCTTTTATTTGTTTTGACACGGGTTCTGTCTAAGTGGTCCAAGGGGACACTTGAGGATGGACTTGAACTTTCTATCCTCCTACCTCAGCCTCTGCACCTCCTGCCTCAGTGTGTCCCACTTCGCCAGGCTTACTCTCCAATATTCTTTAAAAAACAAACAAACAAAATTCCATTTATGGCCCTGTAAGGGTAAAAGAAATTGAAGTTAAAGCGTAAAAGTTAAAGCGTAAAAGATCGGGTGTTGTAAAAGTTTCTAAGCTGCAAGGTCTGAGTTAGCTGTTAAGACAATGCTTAGAACCACCCAGTAAACATTTCCCCTGATTGGTTGTTTAATAACTGAAGGGGTCTGTGTGGTTGCACGCAGGCATTGCAGGGCCTGGACCAATCAGTTTAAATGTAACCCCCTCCTTAGGAATGACCTATCACTACAGCCTGACCTGTTCCCGCCAATGAATGAACCAATCATGTTTAGGAGTTGTTGTTCAATTTTCCTGTGCCTCATGATGATTTGTTCTGATGTATACAAAGCCCTCCGCCCTCCCCAAAAAGTGTACTTAAGCAATCCTCAGCCCCTGCTCGGGGCTCTGGGCTGCTTTCCCTTCTTTAGTGGGCACGGAGCCCCAGCATGCTGGTTCAATAAACCCCCCCTTCTGCCAATTGCATGAGTGGTCACTTGGTGGTCTCTTTCTCCGACGTTTCGCGGGACCCTTACAGCCCCAATAAAATTTTTTCTCAGATTGAAAATATGAGATTTGCTGAGTTCCTATTTTGTGCAGTTGTTACATTTGCTTTACTTCATTTAATTCCAATATTATGATGTAGTCATTACCCAAATCCACAGTGGGACATGGTCCCACTGTCACCAGCCTCCAAGCCACTCTCCCTCCATGCTTATCCCATTTTGCTTGCTTTCCACTGGGCACTGAAAAAAATTCCACCCGTTTGCAATTTTGCAACAGCAGAGGATTATTTTGGAAAAACACAATTTGTGGATCAAGCAGTTGCCGAGAGCCATAGCCAAGTAGGTATGACGCATGGCAATTTCCTTGTCAGCCTACCCAATGTTGCTTAGAGGAAGGACTCTCCATTGTGGAAATGGGCTTGCCTTGGACCCAGGTCATTTGCAGTGACATTGCATGAATGTTTGAGAAAGGTGACCCTGCTCAAGGACCAGGGCGGATCCGGGTTTAGGGCGGTTCCAGGTTTAGGGTGTGGATCCTGCTGGGAATAGGGCGTATCCTGCTGCCTCAGGCACCCGCTCCTTGAGTTCCCATTGAGTTCTCGCGGGATTGAGAGGGTATTTTGGGATGCAGAGCCCGGTGGAGAGTGTGGATTTTCCCCAGAATGTGCGTGTAGAGTGCCGGTGAGAGTTTGGGAATAAAGAATTGCTGTGTGAATCTACAAGGCTCTGAGTGGCTCGTGATTCTGTGCCCAGCCAGACTGCGGCAAGCAATACCTAATGCAGTACCATCACTAGCAGAAGGGAGGAGGATACAGAAATGCCACGACACCAAGCCAATTGATGGCTCCTTTGGAAAAATTGCATCACTGGTGACACCATCAGCATCTCCCCCCTTCTGTTTAATTAAGCAACAAGCAAATCTTGTCCCCCAGAGCAGCGCACACTAGAGGGAAACAAAACTGGGCATCTGCTTGGAGCTTGTGGCTCTTGTGGCTTCCTCAGTTTCAAGCCAGCACATTCCATATGAAAACAGATAGAATGCATCCTCACATTGGAAAATACAAAAGTGCACAAAGGAAAAAAATCCACCCCCCACAAAGCACCATTCATCTCACCACCTAGAAATAACTAAGGTTCCCATTTTGGTCAATGGTGTTCCCATTTTTTACTGTGCATATTTATAAACTGAATGTATTACAAAAGTGGGTTTTATCATAGTTTTATCACTTGGTTTATGTCTAAATATATTATGAATATCTTCTTCTGCGACTGTTAAAATAATTGCATAGTTTGGAGAAAACACAATTAAGCAATCTTTTGTTTTCTTTTTGATAGCAGGGAATGAATTCAGGGGCACTCAGCCACTGAGCTACATCCCCAGTCCTTTTTCGTATTTTATTTAGAGACAGGGTCTCTCTGAGTTGCTTAGTGCCTCGCTTTTGCTGAAGCTGGTTTTGAACTCCTGCCTTAGCCTCCCAAGCCACTGGGATTACAGGCGCGCACCACTGCACCCGGCTTAAGCAATCTTGTTGGGAAAATTTAGATACAATTTTTACCCTCCAAGGAGACTTCATTCTCTTTTTTTAATGCCTTGAGATAATAGAGGATCCTTGTCTTATATAGCTTTCTATAGATGATGGGAACTGGCCCTGCAATTGAGCTTTTTTTAAAATATTTTTAGTTGTGGATGGACATACTTTTAAAATTTATTTATATGGGGTACTGAGAATTGAACTCAGAGCCTCATATGTGCCAGGCAAGTGCTCTACCACTGAGCTACAACCTGAGCTTTTTAACTTGCTTCTCTACAACCATCTAAACATCCATCAAATAATCCATTTTCTTTATTCCAGTCCATCGCTCCCCTTTGCTTCCTGTTTTCTCCTTGGCACACACATCACTTCTATCTCTCCAGTGCTTGCCTCTCTTGACCTCCATTGCCTTTCTTTAAAGAGTCTTTGTTTTCTTTTCTTTAGTGGTGGGGCACTGGTGATTGAACTCAGGGGCCCTCAGCCACTGAGCCACATTCCCAGCGTATTTTGTATTATATTTAGAAACAAGGTCAAACTCAGTTGCTTAGCGCCTTGATTTTGCCGAGGCTGGCTTTGAACTCGTTATCCTCCTGCCTCAGCCTCCCAAGCTGCTGGGATTACAGGCATGCACCATCATGCTCAGAGGCTTTCTTTTCTTTCATTTAAAATGACTGTCTTGCTGGGCATGGTCGCACAGGCCTGTAATCACAGTGGCTCTGGAGGCTGAGGCAAGAGAATTGCAAGTTCAAAGCCAGCCTCAGCAACTTAGTGAGGCCCTAGGCAACTTAGCAAGGCCCTGTCTAGAATAAAATAAATAAATAAATAAAAAGGGCTGGAGATGTAGCTCAGTGGTTAAGTGCCCCTGGGTTCAATCCCTGGTACCCAACAAGAAAAAAGGTAAAAATAACATTACTGTCTTAATTGACTTTAATTTATTCAAAACTTTGCCCTGACTTTCACAATAGAATTGCTTTTAATAATCTGTAGAATCCAACTATTTAAAATCAAGTATGTTTTAATAAGACTTTATAGAATAATACAAATTGAGAAACACAGGACTTGGGCACACGGTCAATAGGGATAACAATTATTATTTTTTTAAAGTAGCTTTCACAGAGACAGCAGAGCAAAGGTAAAAAGTACTGGGTGCTTTAAGGATGTATTAGGAATCAGAACAGAAACATGTGCATTATTTTAAGGCAAATAACAAATAATTAGACATTTAGTTAGGACATCGGAGCATTATAGTTTTTACTAATCATGAAATTCACATGTAACTAAACTTATATTTCCAGAAAAAGGCAAATGTCAATTAACAGTAACTTTGTATAGAAAGACAGAGGCCAGCTAGCATGAGAGTGGTCCATGCAGACGGGGCTAATTCTGGAGTCCTAGAAACTGCAAGGTGCTCTTCCATCACGCGGCTCTCTAAAAGGAAGAGACACTTGGTCATTAAAGAAAATCCCTCTGGCAGTTCATCCTGCTGCCCACACATAAGACATATCTGCACGAGCCACAAATTAGTCAGGGCCCAACATTTGACGAGGACAATGTGCTTATAGGATCAGCAGCGCAGACTACATGAAATTCACACTTCCTGAAAAATTTTAAGTTGCCCCAGGCCGACTGTTAATTTGCTCTTCCCTGGATACTTCTCACCCCTGGTCCCTACTGCAGGGGAGACAGCTTCATTTGCAGGGATGGGATAGAATTTGGTTAAATGCTGATAAGCGGGCACATTTGGGGCCCCAGATTCTAGAAAGAAAACATGGTCCCGGTTCATCCAATTATAAACCCACACTTGCGGAACACCTACCCCAGGCCTGACACCCAGAATGTAAATGACAAAGACAAAAAAAAAATTTACAGGTTAGAATTAGGAGAGTCCTCTGAACTGGGTTGGCCCTAAAAACCCAGCTCAGGCAGAGGGGGAAACTATCCACTCTTCCTGTCTTTCTCTTGGTCCTGTCTTTCTTTCTATTGTCTTCTTCAAATCAGTAAGGTGAAGGCTACTGAGAGCAATCACCAGGGCCCTTTAAGGACCTAGGGAAAAGTTCCTAATGGACAAGAACAGAATCAAAGTGCTGTCAGGAATTCACCATCAAGGTGGGTTCTAACTGCGTGGCCTTCCTGGAGATTGTTGGGTCCCTTCCCAAAGGACAGGACACCAGAGAGTAGTACCTCCTGGTGTTTAAGGCACAGCCTTGTTCTATTTATTGAATGCCCTTTATAATAGAAGTTCACAGACTATCAGACTTGAAAGAATTCTGCTCCTGAAAGGCAGCAGGACCGCCATCCCAGGGAGCACCTCTCAAGGATGCTGGGGCAGCTCCCACCGGGAGCCCTGGATGCCCACAACTGCATTGGACACTTTGATCAGCACAACTTTGGCTGTCAGCCTCTAGCAGGCCAGGATGTAGGAGAAGACACCAGGTAAGCTAAGCACCCCATGAGCAACTGAGCACCCCGAAAGGGAAAAAGAGAGAACACCCTTACCACAACCAGAGATAAAGGCCTGAGGAAAGCAGCGGAGCTGGCCGTGCCAGCATTTGCACAGGGAACACTTCTTGGGCAGCCAAGCGCCATGAGACAGGGATCCGCAGTTCCTAGGAAGAAATAGATGATGCCTACTTTAAGTTCTCACATTTCCTTCTCTCTCCTCTGCACCCGCTTCCTGCCCCTTTCACAGCTTACTCTTTTCGCACATCATGCTCACAGTTCCGTCCATAGAAGGAAGCGGGGCAGGCACAAAAGGACCCCAGGATGCAGGTGCCCCCATTCAGACAGCAAGTTTTGTTTAGCTCCTTACCTGAAATGTAAGAGGAGAGACTGAAAAACCTGAGGACACTTCCTGCAAACCCAGTGCTTCATCTCCCCCAAATGTTTACAGATGTCCGAAAACCGTCAGCCTCACAAGTGGGACTCTGCTTTCCACAGTTCCTTTTGCGAGCTCTTCTTTTGAGCTGGGAAATCACTTTCCGGCATTTGACAGTGCCGGTTCTCAGGGACCCCAGTGTGAAGTGGAATCAGGGGAGGGAAACTGCATACCAGGGAAGTGAAATATGCCATGCCAGTCTCACCAACCCAACCCATCCACCCACCCACCCAGCATCACGTGCCCACCCCCTTAGGTAAAAGTCCACAAGATGGACCAGGTCAGGGGTGATCTAAGGCAGGTAGCTCTTACTGTCCTGTATTCCTATGGATGGCACAAACTGGAAAGACCGGGAACGAACTGCAGGTTTCTCCTGGGACTGAATGCTTCCATCTCTAAAGCCTGGGTCTCCCAGAGATGCATGTGCAAATTCATGGTGGCCCAACCCTTAATGATAAAAATCAATCCAGGAGTCTGTATTTTAGGCCACATAGAAATAGTTGGTGATCAAAAGAACAAAACAGTGAAGGATGGGGTGTGCTTGGAGATACAGCACTTGCCTAGCATGCGAAAGAACTTGGGTTCCATCCCTAGGACTACAAAAAAGGGGGAAAAACGTTTGGTGATTAAAAGAACAAAAGCTTTCTCACCAGCAACTAATCCCAGTTCAAACATGTTGGAAATGGCCATGATGAAAATCACCCTAGGAAGAGGAAATAGGGACATCCCGTTAGCAAATCAAAGCAAATAAAACCCTTGGAATTAACACTTGGGTCCTCTCAACACAGAGCCAAGACCACAGACCACTAAAGAGGAATTGCAGAATCTCACCTTTCTTCTTTATTCATTTATAGCTAACTCAGGCTAACAAAGAAAATGTTGAAAATATCAACAATATCCAACTCTTCATTATTTCTTAGGGCCTAACCTCACAAGCACATGAGTTAAAGAGGGAATAAATCTTATCTATTTCACAAAACCTACATTTTTTTTCTCTCTTGCAGAGTTTTCATATAAAAATTTTAAAATGGTTGGTTACAGTGGCACACACATATAATCCCAGCAACTCAGGAAGCTGAGACAGGAGGATCACAAGTTCAAGGCCAGCTTCAGCAACATAGTAAGAAAGACCAACAACTTAGTGAGACCTTGTCTCAAAACAAAAAAAGTAAAAAGGGCTGGGGATGTAATGTTGCTCAGTGGTAAAGCACCCCAGGTTCAATCCTCAGCGTGCGCACGCGCGCGCACACACACACACATACACTCACGAATTTAAAAAATGACATTCTGTGTTATCAAATTACATTTCACAAACTATTTCAATTAAACCTGTAATTGGAAAGTTTTTCAGGTTAAATTTTTTTTTTTTTTTTTTGCTGCTGTCGTTCTTAACAGTTTTGCAAGTATAAAATCAGTCTCTCTATATATTTGACCTTTTCAGAAGCAGATTTTTAATTTGGCTATAATATTGGTATTCCTTATAAAAGAGTAGGAAAACATTTCATCAGCAGCATGATTAGAAATGTCAAAAGCCCATGGCAAAGTAGACTGTAAGTCTGAAGTACCAGGTTTTTCAGGAAAAACAGCAGGGGTGTTGGAAAGTTTTTAAGGTTCGATTAAGACAAAATCACAGAGGTATAGAAAAATGATTTCCTAAGCTGGCAATCTCTAGCCATCCAGTCCACAGTTCAAGATTAGCTCCTACCTGGAAGAGAAGTGCTCCATCTTCCTGCAGTCCACAGCTCTTAAAAATTTAGGGGGCGGGGGATGTAAGCAGTGGCTTTAACTCATAAAGTCATTGCCAAAATACTTAAAGGAAAAACCTTAATTTTCAGAAGTGAAAAATGACAATTTAAAAAGTATCCCGGATGAAAAAGAAGCTTGTCCCAGGTCTTAGGAGAAGCAGGAGCTGGGATGTCCTGGAAGCTGGGGTATTCTAGTGAATACAATCTAATGAATGTTTTGACCTTGAGCAAGGAACTTCCGGGGGATCCTCCTTCCTTCAGGTGGCAAAAAGGACCCTCAGGTGGGCGGGGAGGCAGGAGGCTCAGCCCCCTTAGAATGCCCTAATGCTGCAGGGCTGGGAACTGAACTGCAAGACGCCTGAAAAGAAAGGAAAGGAAAAGAAAGTGACCATCCCTGAGGTCGGTTATCCTCAGTTACCCGTGAAAAATACCAGATTTACTCTCCCCCCACCCCCGCTCCCCGGGGGTGGAGATGGGGGCAACTCGATTATTCTATCAAGTTGTTGATCCCAACTTGAAGTGATGGAGAACCATTGTTTTATTAAGAAAAACCCAAACACCACGTATGGGAGTGTCTAAAGACCTTTGCATTTTATTCTCAAATTTTATTTCTAGAAAGTAGATTTCATCTTTGTTTTTTCCAAAAAAGGTTGTTGAGACCCGTGCTCCGCCCTAGGGAAGCTCGGGTGGTCTAGCAAAGGTGTGCCCCCTGCCTTCAGGAGTTAGGTGGGTGAGGGGTAAGACCAAGGTCGGAAGGGGATATGCAGGTGCTGGGCTTGGGAGAGCGAGCCAGCCTTGCCGGTGGAGGCCGGCGAGCAGCTGGCCGGTGGGATTGTGCAGCCCGGACCCAGGCAAAGAGCTCCAGAAAAATCTTTAGGAGCACTTCGGCCTTCCCCCTGGGTTTTCTCTGCATTTTTATCTTGATCTCCCTGTGCCCTTGCCCAACTCTTGTACCCGAGGCTGCATCTGAGACCACGTCAGCATCAGGGCCTCTGTGGGTGAATACCAGGATTCTATAGAAGCTAAGAGCCCTTTTTTACTTTTACACTTGACCTTGGTAGAATTAAAATTGAAATTACTTTTTTTGGGGGGAAGTGGAGATCCTTCTCAGCAATGGTAGGACACAGCTACATTTCCACCTCAACCACAGTTAGCAATTCAATTCCTGTTGCTACTTCAACTCCTCAGGTCTTCAGAGCTTCGGGTCACAGGCTGCGATTGGTGGAGGACCAACCACCAACCGGGGAACTTGGCCCTGAACTCTAGGAGGTCGGAGGTGGGGCCCAACTCCGCAAAAAGAAAGGCCTTGTAGCTGCCGGGAGGCTCAAAGACATTACTTTCTGCAGCAAATTTTGTAGGGCACCTGTGCATCACGGTCCACCGCGGTCCAGTGTGCTAAGTAGGTAAACTACATGGACTTTATTAATATCAGATTATGAATAAGACAACTAATCGCTTTTGGGAGCTTAAATGTCTTTTTCTCCCCAGAGACTGGGCCGGTTTGTGTTAAAACAGGTAACAGAACATACCTGGGTGGTGCTTCTTTATCTGAAGGTGCTATTGTGGATCTTTTAGAGCTGAACTGAGGCCACAAGGCTGGCCCAAGGACAGTGAGTGCTGTGTTTAAAGTATAAAATCAGCATTTGATCTAAAACCAACAAAAGCATCATAATCAACGGACATACTTTCAGTGTCATTTTAAAATTCGGGGAAGATACTAAGAAATGAAATTGGCCAGATTTTGTGACGTGTATGTATCACAGTGAGTCCCTCTATTCTGTATAATTATAATACACCAATAAAAATGAATTATAAGCAATAAAATAACATTCGAGGAGGAAAACAAATCTAGAGTATAGGATAGATTTTAGCTTTAAAAAGTCAGCTTGACCTAGTTTCACTGGTTGAACACACATAGAATTAAATCCCAACTAAAGGGTTCATGAAAAGAACACCATTTCTGCTGCACAGTCACAGGATAGGAAAGGGAAAGTTCCAAGGAGCACTTTCTGATGCAGTCCTCGGAATATTCCATTTCGCCAGGCCACTAGATGTACAGAAGGGGTGGGGGAGGTGGCTCAGGGAATTCTGGGGCCCCTCTAATCCCATCAAGGCCAGATCCAACAGCTTCTGATAGCCCCTGAGAAGCACTGTGGCTGCTATCCACCCAGCAGGCCCTGGCCAACTCATTAACAAGTTAATACTTTCTGTTTTCACTGGAGAATTTAACAAATAACAACTGGGAAACTATTCAACATTTGCCACAAGTTTCTGTGCCGGCTTTAAGAGGATAGATTCCTGCATACATAAATCTGCAAACTCAAACAATAAATGGTAAAGAAGGAATGGGGAAGGATTTAGAAGAGGACACTTTTTTTTGGGGGGTGGTGGTGGTATTAGGGCTGGGCTTTACCATTGAGCTTCACCCCCAGTCCTTTTTTTATTTTGAGATAGGGTCTCACTTATGTTCCCCAGGCTGATGTGGGATCCTCCTGCCTCAGGCTCCCTAGTTGCTGGAATTATAAGAGTACACCACCGCTCCTAGTGAGGACCCCATTTTTCCCTTCCTATTTCCGTATGTGAAAAATAGTATTTTGTTTTCATTTGGACTTGCCTGGTTCCCTGTGTTTACTTGATGTTTGTATTTCGTTTTCTGTGACCTGCTGGTAATTTTCACTGTCCCTCACAGTGAAAATTCACTGGGGCTTGAACCCAGGGGTGGGTTCAAGCTACATCCCCAGCTCTATTTATTTATTATTTATTTGGAAACAGAGTCTCTTGTTAAGTTGCTTAGAGCCTTGCAAAGTTGCTGAGGGTGGCCTTGAACTTGTGATCCTCTGGCCTTAGCCTCCCAAGTAGCTGGAATTACCAATGTGTGCCAATGTACAGCCCTGGCTGATAACTGTCACTGGACAGGGGTCCAAGGAAGCTGCCACATGGTATAGGTCTTTGAATCTGGTAACATTTAAATCGATGGTGTGTTTGTTCTTAGTTGATCTCATATAAGCATATGTCAGAGGTTTTGTTCATCAAACTAAAAAGACAATCAGGGCTGGTCATGCTCATAGATCCAGGTCTCCATCTAGTGAGGGGCTCTTTTTCTCTCTCTCTCAGAGCTCATCACTTGGACTGACTTCTTTGATTCTCAGGCTATATGCCATTGCCCTGGGAAGCACTTGCTGATACTGTCCTCCCTATGTGGGCTTCCAAATGTGGAGCTGAGAGCCTGTTCTGGCACCCATAGCCCAGCCCTGGAATTTACCTTATCTCTCAACATTGTGTTGTAAAAGGCTTGTTTTTCTGTCTTTCAGGAACCCTCCCCCATCTCTTAAAACCCACCCCCCACCAGGAGGTCCAGAAACATGGACTTTCAGAAATCTCAGCTTCCCAAACTCTGCAGCATCTGCCTGTGCTGATAAACTTTTGGCTAAATCTTAGTCCATCTGCCACATCTCTGGCAGACAGGACTGGAAGTCTCAGCCCTATTTTCTGAAATGGGGATGGGACCAGGGTAAGGTTTTTAAGAAGTGCCACAGGAAAGCAACTTGTTTCTCCAAATGGGAGAGAGAACAATGCATGCTGCCTTCTCCAACTAGGAAGGAAAGAAAGGCAAATCCTAAATGCTTCAAGCCATTATTCATATGCAGAATTTTGGGTGATTTATTCACCATATAGAAGTTTTTTTTTTTTTTTAACCAGGAATTGAATCCAGGGCACTGAGTTATATTCCCAGCACTTTTTATTTTAAGACAGGGGCTCACCTAGTTGTCCAGACTGGACTAAAATTTTCAATCCTCTTGCTTCAGCCTTCCCAGATGCTGGGATTACAGGAGTGTATGATCATGCCCCGCTGGACAAGATAATTTTGATGCATTTACTGGGAACCATGGTTGATGAGGGAAAGTCTGAGTTAGACTTTAGGAATAAATATGACTTGGAATTTAGAATATG